GCCAATAGCATCACTCACTCAATCCTATTGTCAGAAATACCTGTGAGGGGTTACACCCTCGGATTTAGGATTTGGTTGTGGTGCTTTTCAATAAATTATATAACTTTTCCTCTATTTTTGAGGGTCTGTAAAGGTAGATTTTACCGGGTCGTTTTAACCTGGAGGATTCAGGGGTCTGTGATCTTTTTTTTGTTGTTAGAATTTATTATTACTTATTCTTATTAAGCGCCAGCTTAATACTGCAGAAAATTTCAAATCACCTTTTGACAACCCATTCTTCTCTTTCCCACCCAAATTCTTGATAAAGAGCTCTTGAAGTGAAGACACATTCTTTTCTCTCTTCTGTATATAAACTTGGTCAAATAGAGGCAAAGAACTATGTACATCTTGCTGTAAAATGCTGCCCAGGGCTATGGAAACAGTGTTTGCCCAGGTTCCTTTTATTGTCCAGGTCCTGAAAGACTCTTGTTTATGAATTGTCTCTTCACAAAGCCTGCATCCCCCCTCACCTGCCCTAACCTCTCTATCTGACCCTTACCCCCCAAAAAAAATTCCATATAAATTTTTTGTTAATATTTGACTGTGTGTTATTTTGGGGTATGGTATATAGCTTTCATCAGATTCTCAAGGGGTTCTCTGACCACAAAAGTGGATCAGATGTTTCTTTCCCTGATTTCTTACAACAATTAAATCTGATTATTCCTTTTTTTTTTTAATCTGGTTTTTCTTCTGCTAGCGTTCATCATTACGTGCTGAGTTTCCGTTTTAACCTGGAAAATGGGCTCAGACTCTGAGCTGTCTGCTGGGGGAGGAACTTTTACTGAGATGCTCAGGTAGAGGGACACAGTGGAGCAGAAAATTTCAAATTCAAATGTTAGTCGGGCTTATTTATTTGTTAGGTGGGTAATTTCACATTTTACTGATAAGGTTAATATATTCAGTTAACAACTTTGTTTTAAATTGGTGGGCTTTCTTCTTTAGACATACTATCTTCATCTTTAGTTTGCATTTTTGTGTCACAACCACAATCTATTATTAAAGATTTATAAGCTCTCAGGCAATATAAATTTTAAGTATTGTTTTAGAATTCATATGTTGATGGAATTTGACACATGGTCGTTTTCTAAATCACATAAAAGTCGGTTATTTTACCTTATTTTGGAAAATTGGTATTTTCCTCTAAAATTGAGGTGATTTAAAAAATTGAATTTAAAAAATCTTACATAAGTATGTTATAAAAAGTAGGATTGTTCAAAATTAAAGTTTTGTGAAAGGTTTCTTTTGTCATGTTACTAAGAAATTGTTTTTATCCATGCTTGCTGCTAATGTTAGAGTCCTAGTTGAAATACTCCTATAAAAATTTACACATTCTCAGATATCTGTAGTAATTTATGAATTTTGAGAATGTTAAGAAATGGAATCTTTTAAGACTCCCAGTTTCATCAGTAGTTTAAAATATGTCTCTAGCCAATGATATTGTGGGTTCAAGTGCAAAATGGACAGATTGCAATATTCCCCTTTACCTCTCCTATGCTAATTTATGGTGGAGTTGTTAATTAGCTGCTCGTTGAAAAATGGAAACATTTGGTATTGAAGAAGTAAAGGGGGTAAAATAATACACAAATTGAGTGAGACCATATAATTAAAGCAACCTGTTCAGAAGATCATACTTTGTATATATACTTAAAAAAACCACATGCATACCTGTTGATTTAAATAGCTAGTTTTCATTAATTATTTTGTAGCTGTGTCTCTGTCTTTGTTTTCTATTGATGTTTTCTCATTTCTGTCTTCTTCCTCTTAAGCGTTCCAAATCTTTGTTAGAAAATATTTTACAATTTAAATTTTAAGTGTAGGGTAAGATCATTTCATTCCTTGGGACTTGAAATAATGACCTCTTAATGTCCTTAACTTTGAAGTCTGTTTTCCTCTGGTTGCATTAGGCAGATCTGTTTGTTTTCATCTCCTGCACTCTTCCTAATGCCTCTTTTCATTTGACTGTATTTGTTGTTCCCCTTCAAGTCTTTGTCTTAGATGATTTTCCAATATTCAGCTAAATGGGAAAATATCTGGTAGAGTTGAAGAATTTTTTCAGTCTGGGCTCTATACTATAAGGTTTGCTTATAGACATGCTTATTTTTGTTTATTTAAATATAAAGATAGTCTCTATAGTGGTTGTCTTTGATTTCACCCTTTTTGCTTTTTAAAAAATACAACTTTTCGACTGATTGCTTTGAAAGCCATTTAAAGTATGTCCATTGGGACATACTTTTAAGTTTATCTTTTGTGCCCAGAGTAAAAGGTAATTCATTTTATTGTCTAAATTAATTTACATAATGTCTTACAGGCTTCTCTTCAGCCAGGATAAAAAATGGCTATGATCTTTCTTTTACCCTCTTTTTAAAAAAATGAGGTTATAGTAGTTTAGGACTAACTTAATTCAGGTAGGAGTAGATTACCTTTCTGGGTTCTTTGTTTTGTAATCTCATGTTGGGGTATATCACCAAAGCTTAGAAACTTTGTATCTAGAGCATTTGACTTAGTGCTCTTAATAAACACTTAACAAATATGAGTGAATGAACAAATGAGTGAATGAATCAAACCTAATTGAGGTGTGAAGCAAGAACACTACTGTGTAGTATCTTTAGATGTAGAGATTTTTGCAGTTTGGTTGGTAAAATGGATTTGAAGACTTGCACTGGTTTGCAGACCACTGGAAAAAATCTAATCTTTTCAGTAATGTGGTAAAAGCACACTAGAATATAATTGTGGGCTTACTTCATAAATTAAAACTTTCAAAATACTTTGATAGAAATAATACATGTTCATATAGAAATTTTATAAAATATAGTAAGGAATGAAGAAGAAAAAGTTATTTGTAAGTCTACCACCTGGAAAAAAGTACTGTTAGCTTTTTGATACAGTTAGGTGCACAGACTTCAGTATATACTTTAAATACAAGGGTATATACATTCAGTTTTGAATTTTGCTTTATATGTGTGAATCCAATTAACATTTTTTTCTGTTTTTGTTTTTTAAACCTTACAGGCCCCTTCACAGATGTAGTCACTACAAATCTTAAGTTGCGAAATCCGTCTGATAGAAAAGTCTGTTTCAAAGTGAAGACTACAGCACCTCGTCGGTACTGTGTGAGGCCCAACAGTGGAATTATTGACCCGGGGTTGACTGTGACTGTTTCAGGTAGCAAATCGTGTTCTGAATTTGAACAGTATTGAATTCTGACCTTTTTATGGTTATGTTGAATTTGGTTTTAATTAACAGGGTTTCATTTGGAGGGAGGAAAATAGTTTTTAAGTTATTCTGGCTTGCCTTTAGTCATGTCCTTCTGTTATCTTTTACTATATGCAGCTGTTGCAGAACATTTCTCACCCTTATCATCCTTATCTTGTGGTTGAGGGTGTCTGTGGTCAATTTAAATGATAATTGTCGTTTAAAAATTTTTATATCCTTTATTTCTACCGCTCAGTACCACATTCTCTGCCCTTATTTATCTTTGAAATATTACATCATTTTTGTGATTGATCATTCTTTTCAGATCTCTAGCTCTTGTTACATATTGCGTTCAGCTATACAAGTATTATTCTAAGTCTTAAAAATGTACAATGCCTCTTTTTTGCTGATTGTATCAAATTAGATGAGTGTTTCTGCCTTTCATTATAAATGCCAAAGCTTAGTTTTTTGGTTCCCTTTTGTGTTTACTTGTAGTCCAAGGAGTATCCTTGGTTCCCTCCATATATGGTTTGCTTACTCCTGCTGTGGAGTCTGTGCCGTTGCCATAGTTAATGATCTCTATAAACTTCCCTTCTTCTATCAGACTTCCTAAGACAGTACTTCTTAACAATATTATCTGACATAGTTAAGAAATAGGAAGCAAGTATGAGAACATATCTTAATTGTGGGAGAACTTCTTAGGCTTCGCACAGAGACAATTTACTCTTTCTAGCAGTAGTTCTCACCTCCCACTCACTCTATGTCCTGATAACAGGTGGAGCAGGAACACATGTGGACCTCTCTCAGCTCAGAATCTCTAGGGGCATGGCCTAGCCATGTATGTGTTTTAAAAAACAAAACATGCTTGGGTGATCCTGATAAGTATTCCTAAGATATTCTGTATCAGTTTCCTGGTTTTTAAATCTACAGCAGATTAAAAACACCGAATTATACAGAGTGAGAGCCTACAGCAAGCCCATGGAGAGTACTTAGAAGTAGAACTTGACTGCAAAGGTAGCGAAGGACTTACTGTAGAGTTCTGTGACACTGAATCCTCCTTCAGTAGGTACAGCCAAAAACTCAGAGCTAGTAGGCCCTAGAAGAGATGTTTTTGGTGAGTCTTGTGATATGGTGGCCTGGGAGGAATTGTGTTTGTGTTTGTCCAAGTTCATGGAAAAGATGGATGGGAAAGAAGATAAAGCTGAGTACACGCATTCTGGAAGTTGGTCTCTAAATCTTTAAGCCTTTTAGCTAAGTTGGAAGAAAATAGAATTATTTCTCTCCGTGTGGTTAAAAATAGTTTCTTGATGCATCTAGTTTTATCCTTAGGAATCTGTAAAACTATTCAGAATGACTTTTTTTGGAGGATTCTGAATTGCTGAAGTTTTATTGTATTATTTCTTAAGAAAAGTTTGAATTGCACAGGTCGCTTACATGTGGGTTTTTTTTCGGTATAAAGACAGTATAGTACTGTAAGTGTATTTTCTCTTATGATTTTTTAAATTTTCATTTATTTTCTAAAGATTTTATTTATTAGAGAGTGTGCACATGAGCGGGGGGTGGGAGAGGGGTTGTGGGAAAGGGAAAAGCAGACTCCCAACTGAGCAGGGAACTCGACCGGGATCATGACCTGAGCTGAAAGCAGACACTTAACTGGATTGAGCTACTCAGGCGCCTCTCTCTCTCTCTCTCTCTCTCTCTCTCTCTCTCTCTCTCTCTCTCTTTTAAAGATTTATTTATTTATTGGAGAGAGCGTGCCTGAGCAGGGGAGGGAGAGAATCTCAAGCAGACTCCCTGCTGAGTGCAGAGCCTGATGCAGGGCTTGATCTCAAGACCCTGAGATCATGACCTGGGCTGAAACCAAGGTGCTCTACCAACTGAGCCACCCTCTTATGATTTTTTTTTTAAAAAGATTTATTTATTTGAGAGAGTGTGCGTGTGAGTGGGGAGAGGGGCAGAGGGAGAGGGAGAGAAGCAGACTCCCTGCTGAGCCTGGAGCCCAACACGGGGCTCCATCTCATGACCCTCAGATCACACTTGAGCCAAAATCAAGAGCTGGACAGCCAACCGAGTGAGTCACCCAGATGCCCCTCTTAATGATTTTCTTAATAACGTTTTCTTTTCCCTAGCTTACTTTATTGTAAGAATACAGTACATAGTACATACAGTATAGAAAATATGTGTTAATGCCATGGTTTATGTTATCGGTAGGGCTTCTGGTCAGCAATAGGCTATTAGTACTTAAGTTTTTGGGGAGCCAAAAGTTATATGTGGATTTTCAACTGCATGGGGGCTTGGCATCCCAAGTCCCTATGTCGTTCAGGGGTCAACCTGTACTTATCAAAACACTTTGTCTTCCATAAATCCCTTTTGTTGAGCATCTGACATATTAAAAACTTAAGATACACTACTGTTTACATAGCATGCCCTCAGATTCTTCTCCAATTAGAATTTAGCTCTTCAATTTTTAGTGTATTGCCTTTGCTTATAAGGAGCCCCTCAAACTGTACTTCCTTCTTCTAGCAACTTTTCCTTGATTGACTCTGTATTACATACTCATTTTTTTTTCTTTCTCTCTTTAGCACTTAGTTTTGTGGGTTCTTTCAATTTGACATATTTATATATATTTTTAAGATTGTTTAATTCTTATATGGTCTGCACTAACAGAATATAATTGTCATAAAGTCACTATCACGTTTTAAGTTTTCTTTTTATTCAGTTCCTACTGATGAACCTACAGTGATTGCTCAGTTGAAGGGCATTAATGGACATTTACTGTGCTTTATGTGGATCCTGAGGCATTTATCCTGTGCATTTTTTTCTGCTATGTATTTGTCCCTTGAAAATTTTTTTTAGCCATGATGGGAGTTACGGACATCTCAGATACACTTAGAATATGATTTTCTTATGTAGTTGTTATATTTCACATTTGCTTAATTGCATTTGTCTTTTTGAAATCGTTGATGTACATGTACAGAAGATATATCTTAGAAATAATTTACACGTTAGCAGGGGAATAATTTGTACAATACCATATATATATTTTGTGTAACTGTAGATTTGTTCTTATAGTCTTTGTAATATAAATTGAATAAAAGTTTCGCATCACCTCTAGTTATAAGGAATCCCTAAAAATCCTCTTAAAGGCTACTGAAAATCTTGAGTGCTTAGAAAAATTTGAATATATTATTAGGATGCTAGAAAATTTCTGGAAATAATGAGAGTATGCCTTTTCCTTGTTACTTTGTTTTCTTAGACTCAGATTTAAACAGATTGATAAACTTCTTGAATGGGTGTTTATTTAAAATCTATTTTTGAAAAATTAGCTTTATTAGAACACTAAAATATGGTAGTGAGTTTTGAAGTTAACTTTTAAATTCTCCTTTACGTATCCCAGCTGTCTAATTCTAAAAGATAATATCACTAAATACCAAATGAAGCCATAATATTTATAACTGGTTTTAATAGACAATTTACTAGATTTTAATCTGAGTTTACAGGTATTATAATAGTTAATGTTGGCAACATTTTGAAAATTTTCCCAAACTTGAATTTAGAGGGGACAATCATAGATTTATATTTATTTTTTAAGTAGCTGTTTATTTTGTGGGCTGTTAAAATAGTTGGAAACCATAAAGTTGATTCTGGATCCTTAATATAAGTAATCCAGGATTAGTTTTCTTGAACCCGTCCTGGTTTTCTTTAAATTTGTGTATTAATAAAACAATAGGGATGATAAGCAGATGCAGAAGACACAAAGTCATATTTCCTTTTTTCTTATTTAGTAATGCTACAGCCTTTTGACTATGATCCCAATGAGAAGAGTAAACACAAGTTTATGGTACAGACAATTTTTGCTCCACCAAACACTTCAGATATGGAAGCTGTGGTAAGTATAGAAGTGGAACAATTTATTTTGGGGGATGTTGTTTAAACCGTGGGTTTTGTATAGTTCTTATTTGAGAAAGCTGATTTTTAATTTAAAAATATGTAAATCTGTTAATTATAAATAAACCTGACTTAATTTCAAGAATGAAAGAATTTTGAAATAGTATTTCTTAGAAACTATTTAGAAATGCTACTATTAGGAAGAAAGTTCTTCAATCTCTAGAGATGTTAGTGTGATTTTTAACAGATGGTGATAGTATGTTTCTTGAGGTGGTATTGCCAGATAACCGTGGCAGGGTGATCAGTATGGAGTGCTGCACTGTGTCCTGTCTGAGCCACAGACCACCCCTGCTCCAAACAGCTGCAGTGTCCCCTGAGGTGAAACCCGTTAGTTGTCCCTTGAGGTGCGAAACCCATTTGTCACAATCATACTTTCTCTATCTCATGTTGGTTTTGTTTGTTTTTAGTGGAAAGAGGCAAAACCTGATGAATTAATGGATTCTAAATTGAGATGTGTATTTGAAATGCCCAATGAAAATGATAAATTGGTAAGTAGGAAAATGTGAGAAGATTGGAAGCTATTAAGTTCTCATTTACTTCGATTAATTTTGCTTCTGTTTTTGGCCTTTTTGGGTTGTGTGATGATGCTATTCCACATTTTAAGACTTAGTGGTTATTTAGGTTTAAAAAAATCTTGATAGCTTTTTTCATTTTAGAACATTTTGTGCACTCAAGAAGAAAAATACTTTAAATACAGTTTTCATGATGGAGAAGAACCATTTAATTCTCCCAAATTTTTGCCACTTTTAAATCAGTTCAAGTTCTTTAGAATGAGACACACATATGCATAAATATAATTAAATAATAGACATAAACCACTTTTTGACAACTGTGTACCAGCAGCCTGGGGATAAAAGATTTAATTTACATGGACAAGCAGTTTATTCCAAGTTTGGCTATTCCCAGGTATTTTGTTCACTGTTGATTTTGGTCCAAATCCATCTGATTTTATTTCTCAGTAAATAATTTTTATGTTGCTTTTTGATTAGTATGAGGCACAAACAATTTGGAGGACTAAGGTATATATGTGTGCAGTTTAGAAAGTCGTCTGTGAATGTATAAAATGAGTTGTGGTCACTTCCCCTATTGCCCTTTTGAAATGCAGATTTTAATCTTTTTCTATGGTTTGTTGGAGGGACTTGAAAAAGCTAAGTAGGATTTTTCTTTTGGTGACTTAATATATAAAATTATACGTGTAACTAGAAATGGTGAGTACAGTTAGGTTATATTCTGACATGACTGTTTTGATCTGGAAGCCATTTGCCCTATTGAAAAGGAAATTCGCAGATTAGATAAATACCTGGGCTCAACTATTGTCTTACTCTTTTAGGATAAGCTGAAACGAAAGAGTCCCTGAGTGGTAATTATTTATGGTGTCTTTTAATCCCTTTTTAAAGGGATGTTGAGATATTTGCCAAAAATAAAAAATGTGAATGCATATATTCTTACTAGAAATAGAAAGTGATCGTTCACTGGCATGTTGATGCTTCCCATTTGGAGTTTACTTTCTCTTTTGCTTGTGCTGCCAGAAAGCTAATAGCTTGCATAGCCCCCCCACCTTTTTTTTTTGCATAGCTGTTTGTTGGAACTGAGAAAATGTAATTGCATGTTGTCTCGGTTGACTAATTTTTATTTTCCAGTTTTATTGAGATACAGTTGACGTACAGCACTAAGTTCAAGGTGTACAACGTAATGGTTTAACATACATATATTGTAAAATGATTACCATAAGTTTAGTTAACAACCATTATGCCATTTAGATACAAAATAAGAAAAATGTTTTTTTTCCTTGTGTTGAGAACTCTTAGGATTTACTGTCTTAACTTTCAAATATACCATACCACCTGTGTTAGGTATAGTCATCATGTTGTACATATATCCCCAGGACTTAATTTGTGTCATAATTGGAAGTATTATACCTTTTGACCACCTTCAGCCAGTTCCCCCATGTTCTTTCCCCGTCTCTGATAACCACAGATCTGATCTTTTTCCATAGATTTGTTTTTATTTTTTGTTTTTAGATTCCGCATATAAGTGAGATCATACAGTATTTGTCTTTCTCTGACTTACTTAGCGTAGTGCCCTTGGGGTCCATCCATACTGCCACAGATGATAGGATTTCCTTCCTTTTTGTGGCTGAATAATAACTCCATTTTCTTTATATACACACCACAACTTCTGTTGTTTCTGTGTCTTGGTTATTATAAACAGTGCTGCAGTGAACATGGGGATGCAGATACCTCTTTGATGTAGTGTTTTCATTTTCTTTGGATATATTCCCTGAAGTAAAATTGAGTAGAAACACATCTGGATATTTTCTCACTTAGAGTTATGTCATCTTTTACAGTTCTTTAATAAACATAGAGCTGACTGTTTTTCATCTGGACTTCTGTTATACTCTGTATAGCAGACAATTTGAGATTATAGTCTGAAAAGGGTTCACCCAAGTATTTGATATTGTTGATTATAAGTGTACAAAACCAAACCAGAAGTTGATGGAAATGATACGGCTATGATAGTTGCGCCTAGCCATGTTAAGCACCCCATAGAGGAGAGTAGCAGGTATACCTACATATAGGTAGGCAACATAGTAATCCAAGAAAGCGGGTTTGGGTCTGCTAAAGGGCTTGAGTAAATACTGAATAGAGTTTCTGGAGTCCTATACCATGGAGCATGAGCAGAAATAGTTTGGCCCTGAAACCTTTTCAGAGCAGGTATTATTAGTAACCCAAAGTCTGTTCAGTATGATTTCAGAGTACTCCAGTGACTGATTTCTGAGCCTAGATGAACTAGCTACAGAATGTATTTCCGTTAATTGAACTACTTGGGCTTATGGTCTAGTTACTACCTCATTAAATGGTAAAGAATAAGTGTTAATGATTTTTTAAAACATTTTATTTGGAAGAACTTTAAACACTTAGAAAAGTACAGTGAACCCCTGTGAACCCATGACCAGTTTTAACAATGACCAGTTTATGGTTAATCTTAATTCATCTAACCACCTCCCCCTTTTCATCTCACATATTGTTTTAAGGCAAATCTAGATGTAATATAATTTTATCTGGAATTGTTTTGGTATATATTACTCAAAGATAAGAACTTTGAAAAAAGGAAAAGAATTAATGACAGTATTATCATTAAGCCTTTTATTTTTAATTTAATTTAATTTACATTCAATTAATTAACATATAGTGTATCATTAGTTTCAGAAGTTAGAGTTCAGTGATTCATCAGTTGTATATAACACCCAGTGCTCATTCATGTCCCTTCATGCCCATTACCCAGTTACCCCATCCCTCCACCCTCCTTCCCTCCAGCAACCCTCAGTTTGTTTCCTATGGTTAAGAGTCTGTTTTGTTTGTTTCCCTCTCTGATTTCGTCTTTTATTTTTCCCTCCCTTCCTCTGCTCCTCTGTTTTGTTTCTTAAATCCCACATATGGGTCAACTCATAATTATCTTTGTCTGATTGACTTTTTTCGCTTAGCATAATACCCTCTAGTTCCATCCATGTTGTTGCAAATGGCAAGATTTCATTTTTTTTTTTTGATGGCTGAGTAATAGTCCATTTGTGTGTGTGTGTGTGTGTGTATATGTAAGTATATATACCACATCTTCTTTATCCATCTATCTCAATAGACATCTGGGCTCTTTCGATAGTTTGGCTATTGTAGACGTTGCTGCTATAAACATTGGGGTGCAGGTGCCCCTTCCGATCCCTACATTTGTATCTTTGGGGTAAATACTCAGTAGTGCAATTGCTGGGTCGTATGGAAGCTCTATTTTCAGCTTTTTGAGAAACCTCCATGCTGTTTTCCAGAGTGACTGTACCAGCTTGCATTCCACCAGCAGTGTAAGAGGGGGTTCCCCTTTCTCTGCATCCATGCCAACAAGCCTTTAAAAGCTTATAATATCATTAATATCAAACTGTTCAAGGCAGATTCAGATTTGTCTCACAAATGTCATTTAAAAATTTTTTTGCAGTTTGTTTGAATTGCGATCAGAATAAAGTCCACATACTGCTTATTGGATGATATGTTTCCTGAATCTCTTCTTAATCTATAGATTCCCTTTCTGTTTTTCTCTCACAGGTTTTTATTAAACAGACTGGCTTTGTCCTATAGACCTTCCCTGTAGAATAGATTTTGCTGCTTACATCCTTGTGGTGGTGTTGAACTTTTCTTGTTTTGGTGTATTCTAAAGTTGGATCTAGAGGTTTGATTAGATTTTGATTTATTTTCACTGGAGGCAGGGGAGAGACACTGCTTTGGAGGTGGTGGTATATTCTCTCAATATATAATGTCTGGTTGTTTTTTTTGTGAAGTTAGTGATCATTGGTGTGCAATGTGTGAATGAGTGGTTCTCATCCAGGGGTAATTTGCCCTTGAGGGTACATTTGTCAATGTCTGGGGACATTTTTGGTTGTGAGAACTAGGAGGGAGGGGTCCTAAAGGCATCTGGTTAGTAGAGGCCAGGGATACTGCTTTGCATCGGCAGTGCATAAGACAATCCTCCCAACAGAGAATTATCTGGCCCAAACATCAGTAAGGTCAAAATTGAGAAACTATAGTATAGATTCATTAATTTATTTAGGGTTTCATAATGTTATTTTGTCATTCCTACTTCCACTTTATTATAATATTTGTGTAGAGAGAAATTGAGCTTATGTTAACCACCCCATCCCACTCTCTAACTCCTGCTCCGAGGTCCTCCGAACCCGTCTTGCCCCAAAAAGAAGTAGATAGGCATTTAATTTAATTACATTAGGTGAGTGTATCTTACCTATTTGAGGATCTGGATCTTTTTAGGTAATGCTGTTAGTGTTTAGGCATTTACATGTTCTTAAGAATAGTGGAAAAGAGTATGTTACTATTTTGTTGATTTAAGTTTTCAGGACCTTGATACTGAATATATAAACAAATGATTGAGGTTTGTGGTTGTCAGGGTAAAAAAGATACCAGGTCTGGAAGTACAATGATTGAGTTCTTGTTTTTAAAATCTTTATAATTTAAAGAAATCTTTTCTTTGGCAAAACTATTCTAGCTTATTTTCAACCCTCATTAGAGTGGGCATCTTTTTGGGAAATAATTCTTTGATTTGCATCATAGATGGAGTGACCTAGGATTCCAGGAACCCCCCCCCCTTTTTTTTTTAAATAAATGGAGGTACTATTAATAATTATTCCAGGACAGCAAGCATTAACTAATACTGTTCTTAAGCATACTAAAATTTGTGCTCACCCTAGTCCTAGGGAAACAGCAGGTCTTTGGATATATTTCAGTAAATTAATGGCCCATAGAGTCTTCAGTTGAGTTGTGTTCAGCACTAGTAACAAGTGCCATTCAGCATGTTCCCTGGATTGTTGATAGCTGGAGGCAGATGATAACTAAAGTGTTGACTGCTTTATTTTTGCAAAGTTGGGTTCTTGGAATTAATAGCTCTTTTTAGTTATTATCAACTCTGTATTATGAGATCTAATGTCTAGTGGTAGTGTTTTCAATTGAATGTGGTTTTAATTAACTTGTTATTTTATGGTGTTTTATCACCTATTTAATTCTTTGTGTTCAATTAAAAAATTTTTTTGGTTTTTTTTGAGGCCTCCAATTCTACTTGAAAATTTCCAGATTTCTTAAACGTATCGCATTTCATTTATGCCCTCCATCCTAATGTGTGTTAATGACATATTTTCTAGGAAAAAAATACCAGTTTATCTTAAGACTGGTGGGTTGTCAAGAACAAGGAATTTCAGTGGTTTTATGTATATAAAGAACTTTTATGATTAAGTATACATTGTTTTGTGTTGCGACAAGGAACAGATTGGGGACAGTGCATTATTAAGTGAGATGGAGTTCTCATAGTTGTATACATTGACCTGAGTATCACTAAGTATTATTTCAAAGTGTGTATCGGCATTTTGGTATCCTCTTATTTTCACCTGTATTAAAGGAATTTGAGAAGATAGGAAGAGAATTATGGTGATACTGATATACTAGAATGTTATATGCATCTTTACTGGTCCTGGGAGAGAGAGGGGTGTGTATGTGTGTGTGTGTGTGTGTGTGTGTATGCGTGTGTGTGTGTTTGGGGGTGGGTGTTGTCGAGTACAGGAGAGGTTTATAAAATACTCTCTTTTTTTGAACCTCAAGAGGAAAAAATTCATTTAACTAAAAATTGTTAAGGTTGAGTATTACCAAAGGTAAGAAAATACGAAGTGCTTGTTTTTCAGATATTGACAAGCTTTGATTAGCAACAGAAATTAAGAGCTGTAAAGTTAGAAGGTGTTCATTTTAGGACAACATGAGGCGAGCATTAATTTAATAAGATTTATACCTTTAATTAGCATAATACAAATTGATCATAGCTGATTTTGTTTGGGAAATATAAAAAGCTACAGAAACTTTTGTACTTTTTGCTTTAACATAGTTATTATTAGTGTTATATCTTATATATAATACATTTTTATAGAGTAAAATGCGAATGTCTTAGAACCTAATGATTTCTGTGTTAGTCATTCCCAGTACCATGCAGGAGAAATCAGTTTGATGCGAATCTGAGAATATGTTTCCCATGCCACCTCAGGGTATAACTCCACCAGGGACTGCTCCGGCTGTCACTTCAATGAGCAGCATCAACAACACAGTTCCAACAACTGGCAGTTATAATACGAAGAATGACCCCAGGGAGCTCAATGTGTTCAAACAGGAGAAGCAGAAGGTTTGTTTTAGGGAGCTAACAGCTATAGGAGTTTACTAGTGTTACTGGTTACATTAATGTAGTTACCTAGCACATAACATGGTATTATGAGTATATTATATGAAGTAGAATTGAAATTTTCAGCTGTTTAAAAATACAGTAGAACCACAGATCACTTAAAAATAATGCACAGAAACTGTTCTCTGTTCTAAAAAAGCAAATTGAGCACTTAATAAAATCTCAGTAGTGAGCAGGACAAATCTAAGTGTGAACATTGTTATGAAGTTGGTACAATTGTTTCTGTCATTGAGATTTCCTAAAAAAGGAGTTAGGAGCTTATTTGAATAAACTAGCAGGTATAGCAGTAAAGGTAGGGGCTGGCAAACATTGATCTCCAGGCAAGTATTTGTTCATATATATTAAAAAGATAAATGAAATTATTATTTAATGTTTTGTTATCAAACACAAATAATGGCAACCCCTCTTTAACTGTCATTATTATTTACAGTGCCCCAGGGTAGGAGAATATGTGGGTAAACCCTAAAGATCTTAGGTCATAGTTGAACTTGTTTGTGTGTATGTATGTATACACGTGTGTACTTAACGTTCACTTAAATAAGATGACAGCATGTCGTCAATAAGATAATGGTGACTTCTGGGTGATGTAATGGTTGCTGTATGATTCCCTTTACCATTTTTTGCTTACTAGAAACTTCAGGAACCCCGTAGTTTGAACAGGTTGCTTATACTTTGATTTGGCTTTGCAGAGAAAAAAATTTGATCCTTTATCTAAATTTGTCTGATACTTCTTTTGATTTTGTGATTTTAGTTACTTATTTCTGGGAATCATGATTCTGCAGAAACAGTAAATTGGTTTTTTAGAGTGAAAATAAGTCTCCAGTAACCTTGTTTTTCAAATACTGTCTCTTCCCAGGTCAAGGCCTTAATTATGCCTATAACAATATTATGCCACAGCCCTTAGTTTTAGTCTTAATTTACTTTATAGACATTAAAAAATGTTTTTTTGAAGATCTTATTTTTAAGTAATCCCCTTAACGTGGGGCTTGAACTCAAAACCCTAAGATCAAAAGTAGTATGCTCCACCGACTGAGCCAGCCAGGTCCCCCCTCCCCGCTTTTACATTCATTTACATACCTCTACTCATTATAGTCACAGGAATGTAGCCTCATACTTACGTTCTTTAGCTCAGGGCTTGTCTTTCTCAAGGCTTTATTGCAAAAACCTATTTTGCCTTGCGCCTTCTGTTTCCAATCCCTTGTTCTGTTTTTCTAATTTCCCCCAATAGGGATAATTTAGAATATTGGAATTGAAATTCTGAAGGTTGTTAAAAAGAAATACAGAAGTAAGTTCAATTCATGGATGGAAAGGGATTTTTGCAGATAAGCTAAAAAATATAAAATAGTGGAAAATGTACAAGTTGTGGCATATTTTTTTGTCTTGATCATGGCCTTGACCTTCCCATTTATTCTAGCTGCAGTGTTAAATATAATGTTAATATAATGTTACTATTCATCAGTTTCCTAAGAGTCACAGCATGTTGAATCCCTTTAGTTTGCTTGTTTCATGGTTCTCAGAACAACCAGTCTCCTCTTTCTGGACCAGTCTGAAGCAACTCTCAAGGAACGAGCTGTTTTCCTGGAGCCAAACCTCAGTAATGGAGCTCCTGAATGGAAGTATATAAAGTCATAGCAGCCTTAGTGTTCCCATCAGGCTCTTGTAGATGGTTACTACATGAATGACTCAGCCCCTGCCTAATTCCCCCTTTTTAACCCCCAATAAAATTAGGTTATATATGCTTATACTTTAAATATACACAAATAAATTAGATTTCATTGCATCTGCTATGTATGTTGACTGGTTTGTAGGGGGCCTAAATAGTACTTGACAAGAAGTATATTCCAAGTAACTTGTTTTCATGTCTTAACTTTACTCACTGTTGGTGTATTTAAGCTCCATTATACCATTTGCATTCTAGCCTTTATGTTTATGCTCCACAAATTGGTTATGACATTTCTTTTTGTTATAAAGAATATAACATTAAGAAAAATTTCAGTGAAAAAGAAAAATCTAATTCTGCCAACCATAAGAAGATACTCATTGACATGTTACTTAAAATCCCAAAGAGTGGGAAGCTACCCGTCAAATGTGTAAAAAGAGTGAGATGTTTAAGTAATTTTATTTAGGCACAGAATAATGACATATAGTGTCATTTAAAATGATAATTAAAAGATGTATATATAAATGGATAAAGATAAAAATGTTACAGTGTATGCTAATTTTATAAAATGTGCATATGAGAAAATATTGAAAGATAATAAGTAACGGTTGGGTTGGGTTGATGAGATTGGTAGTTTCCTCTCCCTCTGATAATTCTGAATTTCTGGAATTTCAAGAATTTATTTAAAACTGAGGAGTTTGATGATTCCTCATTTTAATTTTTTTCTCTTCACTTGTTGGCCTCATGTATCTCCTCTTGATTTTTTAGTCAACTTTCTGGTTTTGAGTATATGTTTTTTTCCCAATTCTTAATCAGAACCTGAGGATTCCTTAGTTGCCATATTGTTGATTGTTGGCTTTCATCTTTATAGAGGAAGGCAATGAACTGCCCTCTTTTTGAATTTGGATTTGTTCTAGGTTGAAATTGGAGCACACTTGAAAAATCATTTTGATATGAATTCTAATTACTGTTAAGGAAAAGATTAAGAAAGAATACTGATGGAGCGCAAAATATATTTGAAACATTTTTGCTGATAGAGATGGAATTGGTCAGGATGGGAAGATAGGGTGAAAAACAAGAAAGCAAGAGGACAACTCAGAGAAGGAAATTGGAAGTAGGCTAATTCTTAAAAACCCTTCACAGCTGAGAAGCTTCTGAAGAAAAATGAAAAAATCTGAATGTTGACAGTTAAATAATGTAGTGTTATACATTAGAACCTCATTATAACATTACTAATTTTTACATGGGTGTAGGCATAGTGATCAAATCACATTCCCTTCATAAGAAATACTATTTTTGCCCCTTGAACTAACAATTATTTACACTTAATATAAATTTGGGACCTGGGATGGTGTGGTAGATGTGTAACCTATAATTAAATCTTATTGAGTACTGTGGAATGCCATAAAGTTGATTTTGGTTATGTTTTTGTTAGAAGTTTATATCTGAATAAAGCAGTTTTAAAAAAATCTAACATTTAATTTCCAGCAAGTAAAATTTTAGTTAAAGAGATGACTTGTTGCACTAATACTGTTATGGGGTAGGTGATAGTATAAATGACATTAAGGTAAAGGAGATTGAGGCACTTTAGACCACAGGCCCCAGGGCCCTGCCCTAGATATTTATCTATATTGGGTGAGTGTTGGTGAAATTTACAGTTTTAGGGCTCAGAGTTTTAAAAGTGTCTTAGTACTACTGTGATTCCATATGGAATTTCATGAGTTAAAGCAAACAGTGTTGGTGATAATTTGAAAGAATTATTTATGTTTAAGAATGTGGAATTGCCTCCTCTTTTTTCTTAACCATATGTTTGTGTTCATTATCTCCTCTTCTGTGTTTATATCCTAGTTATTTTTTCCCATTAATAGAAGTTAGGTTTTAAGTGTTTTTCTTAGGTAGTCTCGTAATTTCATTGGAATTATTACTATAAATCCCCCCACCCCTGCAGAATCTCATTTGAATTGCAGAATCAGAGCACTGAAAATGACCTTCATATTTGGATTTTGGTTGGCGTCAGTCATTCAGCATACTTTCTTTGAATAGCTACTCTTGGCCAAAGTGCTGGGTTTAGGGGTAAATACAAAAAGAAATGACTCTTGCTCTCCCAGTCTTTGAAGTATTGTAGGAAAGAACGTCAAAAATACGTTATTATGATATATGATAAGTGCTGTGGTGGAGGTAAGTGTGAAGGGTTTTGGGAGTAGAGGAGGGAGTGGGCTGCTTATTTTGACTTCTCTTACTGCTGACCTTTCTTGATTTAGTCCTAAATTGTTCACAGATGACGGTAACCTTTGGTATTTAAAAAAAGTTCTTATTAATGAAATCACAACCTCAAAAGTTTCCATTTAAATGATTTTTTGGAAAAGAAAGGTATGGAGTTTCAACTTGAATTTGTTTAAAATCTGTAAGGAGATTTGGTCAGTTAAAAAGTGCCACTATCTTTGTAATACAGAATGATCTGGAACCTAGCAAAACTGTTCCACTGAATGCCTCTAAACAAGATGGACCCATGCCAAAACCACATAGTGTTTCACTCAACGATACTGAAACAAGGAAACTCATGGAAGAATGTAAAAGACTTCAGGGAGAAATGATGAAACTATCAGAAGAAAATCGACACCTGAGAGTAAGTTGTTTTTGAAAATAAGTTGATTTATATGAAGGCATAAGATACGTGAATATTATTAGGCCATGTTATCCATCAGTTTTTAAATTTATCCTTGGTCATTTCTTCTCGTTTTTCCTAATTTGATTATGTCTTGGCCTTTGCTCCCCACTCTTGCCTCTCTAGTTTTACCAAGACTTCTCATTGCCTGCAAGTTCTTTTCCTAGTAGATGCCCTAGTTATTTGTGATCTGGCCTGTCGCATTGCTGGCTTCCTCTCTTGTTTGTAACAGCCTTTACATTCTGTGCCCTAGTCATAGAATTGCCTCAAATGGTGCTGTCCCATATATAGTAGGGACATACGTGGCTGTTGAGCACTTGAAATGTGGTTAGTTTGAAGTGAGATGTGTTGTGAGTGTAAAACACTGAATGATTTCTTAGACTTAGTACAAAAAAATACCTCTTTTTTGTATTACTACATAATGAAATAATATTTTGGTTATATTGGATTGAATTTTATTATTAACAATTTTACCCTTTTCTTTTTATCTTTTTAATGTGCTATTAGAAAATTTAAAATACGTAGGTGGCTCACATTTGAAGCTTATATTTATATTGGACAGTGTTGTACTAGAGTATCCTGAAGAGGCCTCTCTGTTAATCTCTTTTTTGCTTTAGCTTGAGTTCTTCCTTCTGACTGGATCACCCTGAAATCCCATCCCTACCCTTATAAGCGCATTATGCATGCGTGATTATCTCTTGGTCCTTGGTTCTTGTCATCTTTTCAGTATAACCTTTTCTAGGACTTCTCCTCCCAGAAGAAAAGAAATACGGTTTTGGAATGCTATCTCCTTTGTTTCCATGAAACCTCGGTCATCTTACTGCTCCTGTTTGTTGGAGGTCTTTCTCCCTCTAGTGGGCGGTAGTTCTTTGGGGGCAGGGTCCTGTGCTCATTCATCTTTGCATTCATAGCACATGCATATAGTAGTCATTCATATATTTGGATGAATAAATGGATGAACTGGTGAATGAGGACTAATTTGAATATGTGTGGGTGTATTAATAATTTGCCTTTGACAAGTAATTATTTCAAGACCTGAATACCTTTAGATTGCCGTCAAAGTAGATGATACAAAAATGTACATATGTAAATAAGCTAAATTAAGGGACTGAATCTACATTTGATTCTTCCATCTGTTAAATGTATATAAGAACTACATATACTCTGAATCAGAGGCACTGTATCTTAAATTGATCTGTGTTGAAATAATTGTTTATCTCTTCCCATTTCACAGTACCCCTCAGAGGCCCCCACACCTCTTGGGATAGTGGAAAGATTATATTCATTTCACACCTATATCCACACATCATAGATTTTTAAGGATGCTGTTTTTGTTACCTTTACTTTATCTGCTGTGACTTCAGTGGCACAGTTCTGTTCTTTGATGAAAGATGGGCTCCTTAGCATGCTCATTACATTTATTCAAAAAGCCACTGTTTCTCTCTTGGCAGGAGGGGGGAAGTGGAAATGGTAGGAATGATATAAGTAGGGCAGGGCTGGAGAATAGGAAGAGTGGACAGGGAGAGAGGTGAGATTTGGGTGCTGGTCTCTCCTTTTTATTTATTGGCTGATGTTTTGTAGGAGATGTTATTTGAAAACATGTTCTGTTTAAAAGATAAAACAAAAAAACCTTGAAGACCATTGGCTTATAGAATCAATTTCAGGCCCTTTATTAACATTTCATACATAAGACCCATCATAATTTGTCACTGTTCCTTTTTATTCCTCTAGTCCTGTGGTTCTTAATCCAGGCTGTGCATCTGAATCTCCTAGTGAGCTTTTTAAAAATACAGGTCCTCCCCAGACCTGGTAAATCAGAATCACTAGGAAGATTGTTTAAAGTTCTTGATGGGATTGAGAATAATTTTTTCTCACACAGGACTAATGAACATAAGACTAAAAAACCCCACCAACCCTCAGAAATTCCAGTAATTGCAAATAAAAGAGTATGACCTGAGGTGGACTCTTCCTTCATTTGGCATTAGTAACCATACTAGAGGAATCAGTGTGAGAAAATAAAAATGAGTTTGCACTAAGGAAGTAAAAATCTGCCCTGTCATTCATCTGGTTGGGATGATGGACACAGATAAAGCCAGTTGCCTAGGTATCAGTATTTTTCCTGAGATCACACTGTGGCTGGTAAAGTGTGATAACGACCTCCTATTTTGAGTGACCATTGCTTTCTCACTGAGAAACCTTGTCCCCTAAAATCATACTGTCAAAAGCTGCTGTGTAAAATCATACCAGTAAGAACCAAGCAGCCCACTCTTGTCTAGAGGATCTGAGTCACTTTGACACAGAGAAGCAGCTTCCCTTTCAGTCCAGTGGCATAGCCTCAAATGGGGGTAGGGGGCAGTTCTGTATACAACATTCCATAACTGTTGTAGTTTGTTGTTCCTGAAGAAGCAGGATTCGGCGTCTCCTTGGCAGTCAAGACCCAGTGCTGACCCTTCTACACATGGACCTCCTGCTTTGAGCTTATCAAAACACTTGCTACTTAAATTTACCCTGAAATTTCCCCTTCCTCCAAATCCTGTAAAATTCCTCTTTTCCTTCGGCCAGATACTCCCTGTGCCTCTGCTGTGTGGGTACCCTGGTTGCACATGTCAGACCACAGCTTTGCTCCTGGTGGTCTTTGGTAACCCGTGTAAAAATACCGAGGGCCACCACAGAAATAAGTGCATGCACAGAACTCTTCCTTACTTGTATTAATAGATTTTAGTGGCGTTTTTTTCCTTCTGTATAAATACAGCAATATCTGATTTTTCACTTTTTTAGGAGTACATTTTTCAGCTCTAGTTTTTAAAACCGGCATTATTGAGGTATAATTTATATTCCACTAAGGCACCCATTGTGAGTGTACAATTCAGTCATTCCTAGTAAATGTGTAGACTTGGGCAGCCATTACTAGACTCCAGTGTTAGAATGTTTCCATCACCCTAGAGTCTTTTTTTTTTTAAAGATTTTATTTATTTGACAGAGACGCAGCGAGAGAAGGAACACAAGGGGAGTGGCAGAGGGAGAAGCAGGCTCCCCACTGAGCAGGGAGCCCGATGCGGGACTCGATCCCAGGACTCTGGGACCATGACCTGAGCCGAAGGCAGACGCTTAAATGACTGAGCCACCCAGGCGCCCCTAGAAAGTCGTCTTAATGCTGGGTAGCAGTTAGTCCCTACTCCCATTGTAGCCACATGCACAGTGACCTGCTTTCTGGCCATAGATCTGTAGCTTGGCAGTTGTACTGGATGCATATTTGTTTTTAAAACCTCTTTGTGCATATATTTTTTTCAGGATGAAGGCTTAAGGCTCAGAAAGGTAGCACATTCGGATAAACCTGGATCAACCTCAGCTGCATCCTTCAGAGATAATGTCGCCAGTCCTCTTCCTTCCCTTCTTGTCGTAATTGCAGCCATTTTCATCGGGTTCTTTCTAGGGAAGTTCATCTTGTAGAGTGAAGCATGCAGAGTGCTTTTTTTTTTTTTTCTCTTGACCAGAAAAAGATTTGTTTACCTACCATTTCATTGGTAGTATGGCCCACGGTGACCATTTTTTTTGTGTGTGTACAGCGTCATATAGGCTTTGCCTTTAATGATCTCTTACGGTTAGAAAACACAATAAAACAAACTGTTCGGCTCCTGGACAAATTGTCTATTATCAGATCATCACTAGCAGATGTCAGTTGCACATTCAGTCCTTTATGAAATTCATAAATAAAGAATTGTTCTTTCTTTGTGGTTTTAATAAGAGTTCAAGAATTGTTCAGAGTCTTGTAAATGTTATTTTAATAATCCCTTTAAATTTTATCTGTTGCTGTTACCTCTTGAAATATGATTTATTTAGATTGCTAATCCCACTCATTCAGGAAATGCCAAGAGGTATTCTGTGGGGAAATGGTGCCTCTTACAGTGTAAATTTTCTCCTTTACCTTTGCTAATATCATGGCAGAATTTTTCTTATCCCTTGTGAGGCAGTTGTTGACTGAGTTTTTCATCCTTACAATCCTGTCCCATGGTATTTAACATAAAAAAAAAATAAAACTGTTAACAGATTCTTGCTCGATAGCTTGTTTGTGTGTCGTGTCATTAGGCGGGGATACCAGGGAGTCCATTGTATGGTAATTGGAAATTTATGATGCTTAATTTTATCTCCCATTGAAACCCTTTCAGATACTGCAATATTTGTAGTTAAGAGTCCTCATTCTATTAAGGAAAGAGATTGATAAAATTTTAAGCTACTTTTGGTATTTTGGAGGATCACAATCAGTTTGTCTTCAAGATAATATAAAATAAGTCCCATGAGAATAAAAAGACTATAATATTTCCGTTTATATGTATGCCTTGTTGCTCTGTTGCGTTTGAGTTACCCCATTCTTAACAAGTTCTTCTAGTATCTTCACAAGGAAGACTAATTTTCCTTGGTTCTAGTCCAGTGCTTTTTAACCAGCCTAAGAACTCCTTTTATTTTAGAACATTTCATAGTAGTAGTTTAAAAGTAGGTGTTTTTCCTGTCCAATCTGACGTTCAAAGTAAATTTCTGTTATGGAAATTTGGAATTAGTAAGTCTTGGAAATTTTCTTTGTGGAAAATGACTTTATCCTTTGCAAATCTACCTATTAATGTGAAACACATTTTCAGTATAAATATGCATTTTAGGGTCTGCTTCTTTCTTGCAGTTAGTCTTATGTCTTCATTTATTTCACTTGTATTAGCATAGAAAAGTTTGGAACCAGAGACAATATATTCAGTTTTTCTACTAAGTGCAGTCCAATACAAGTGACTCTTGATTCCTGAAAATAGGTGTTAATTTTGTAAAAGATGCACTTCTTTTTGAAAGGGAAACTAGACTTTGGGACTTGATGCGGTGCAGTGAAGTGTGTTAAGCCCAGGTCTCTGTGTACATTTTATAAACGAGTGAAGTATTTTGGTTGCCTTTTCATTTCGAGTATGTTTTGAATTTGTCAGGCTACATGTAGTGTGTTATTGTGCTCTGTGGTATCTTATAAAACCTCTTGCCTTGTGTGCAAAAGTTACTAAAAGCAAGCAAGTAATGCCCTGTCCATTACTAGCATGCTGTTACAGGTAATGTTTTCACTGTTGTTCCAACGCTTTACAGTCATTGTAAAATTTCCCTCCCTTTCTGATAACTGGAAAAGCATGTGGAAAAAACATCTTGCATTTTGTCCCATAAATGCAGAATCATTCATTCCTTGGCTTAAAGCTCTCTATATAAGTCAGCATTATTGGTGATAAGTATCAAGCTTGCTATTTTCATGGCTATAATTTTTTGAAAGTTTGAGTTCTCAAGAATTTAGCAAAATCCCGTTGTATGGGAATGCTCCTTAGAACTCGTTTATTTCAGCCCCTTTGTTTTATAATTGAGAGTCTGAGGCCTTTCTAAGAATTAAGGGAACTTGCCCTGTGTCTCACAGGTAGGTAGAGGCAGAGCTGTTCTCCTGACTCTAGTTTAGTGTCTTTTCTGGTCACTTCCTAGAAAACAAATTTGTCCTAATTTGACATGACTGAAATTATGAACATAAGATGCTATCTAATAAATGTATGTGAAATTTCGTATCCTAAGATTGTATTACAGGCTACTGTTGAATAGTCTCATGTATGTTTGGCTTTAGTGTTTAGGTTAGAGATCTCCTTGCCCCCCCATATTGGTAATAAATATTATGAAATACAATGTATTTTCAGATAGGCATTTTACAAAATGCATTATGCAAAGGTTGGTTTGGGGGTAGATTGTAGTCTGGGCAGTATCTGCAAAATAATGGGCTTTTTATAACTGCTTTACACATTGGGAGATACTCTGTATAGGAGACCTAATTTCTATTCTTTTAATTGCTGTATCAAATGTCAGATTATTTTACTACCAACGGTTACTTTGAAAGAGTCCAACTGTATTGACTGATAATATATGGATTAAATTGTTTGTCTTCATTCCTTACATGTTTAGAAATTTTTGCTTTGTCTGCCTGCTTACTTGTGTATGTAAGCATGAGGGAAATATACTGTTGCTAATACTGAAAATCACAATCAAGTAACGAAGGCCTTAAGTTCATATGTGACGCTAAATGCACTACTTTATTTCATTCTATAACTAATGTACCTTAACTTTGCCCATTCTTGTGCTTACAAGAAACAAATTTAAGAATTGTATTCTGAGTGTGTGGTTTGTTACGTTTAAAAAAAGAAATGACACTTGGAAAAAAGTATGTATCAAATTCAAAAGTTCTGGTCAAAGAAAAACAATATTTTTACTTTCTCCAAGTCTCTTAGTTCAGAAGTTCTCCTAAAATTGAGATTATCTGCTGTGGGGATTATTTTTGGATTTTAATCTTTCAAAATACACTTTGAAAAGAAGTGTAATCAGTAAGATTAAAAAAAAAGTTCTTAATAGGGTATATCCCCAAATTGTGATCTTCTGCCATTTTAAAAACATTGAAGTGAGTTTTTCCTAGAGCTTTGCACATTCCTATTCGGTGATTTTGGTGTGTGCATAGATTTTTTAAAAAATTCACCTTTATGAAGTTAGGGAAAGATCAATGTTTACCGTATGGAAAAACAACAAAATAAGAAGGTAAATAAATGATCTTTATTTTCTAGCTTTCAGAGGAAATCAAACTATTGCGTGAATAAATAAACTGTTTAAAAATGTGGTGAAGTGTCATTTTCCTTTCCAAGAAACAAAGGAATTTGATTTCAACAGATTATGATGGTTTGTGTGTTTATGTTAAGTAGTAGTAATCAGTTACTCACTAGTACTTGAGTTCTGATGCAGATAGTCTTTTGCTTAGTGACCTAAATGTAAAGTACTGTTTTTTTTTTTTTAAGATCTTATTTATTTGACAGAGACAGCGGGAGAGTACAAGCAGGGGGAGCGGCAGGCAGAGGGAGAGGGAGATGCAGACTCCCTGCTGAGCAGGGAGCCCGACGCAGGACTTGATCCCAGGACCCTGGGATCGATGACCTGAGCCGAAGGCAGACCCTTAACCATCTGAGCCACCCAGGCGCCCCTGTAAAGTTACTTTTTCTTGGGAAGTGGGAACAGCTGGGTTTTTCAGTTCCACATTTGATAGCTCATTGTTAGAAGCCATGCTTCTGGAGGGTTCTGTGCAGGAACAGTGTGGCCTCTTGGGAATGCTCAGCCTGATGGGTATTGGTGTGAAGAAGTTTGAACATTCATCTTTAAAAGAAAAATTTTATCTTCCTCATTTCTGATTGTAGGAATAATATGTTCATTTTAGGGAATTTGGAAAAAAATTATAAAAAGATAAAAAGTAATGGCAAATCATGCCATCCAGCAGTATCAGCTTGTATGAACATGTGATTTATTTCCCTATAATATTATGCTTTTTAAGCATAATTGTACATGCAACTTTGTATCCTATATTTGTCAATCATTTCTCTGTGATACATTGAAAACCAAGTAGAAGTGGTTGCCAGGTTGCTTTATGTTTACAGTCACTTTCTTGACCATAAGGTTATGAACGTTTTATGTATAACAGAAAGCTCGATTGGTCAGGTAGTTCCCTTTCTGGTTAGGCACATCCTCCTAATTACCTCGTTTCTTTTGTTTTAGAACTCTGTTTTTTGTTTTCCAGTTGCTCCTTTACATAACACCCATCTTTTTCTTTTCACATTTTTATTTAGATTCTAGTTAATATATAGCATATTATTCAGTAGAAGAATTTAGTAATTCATCACTTAAATATACCCAATGCCCAGTGCTCATCATAACAAGTGCCCTTAATGCCCATCAGCCATTTAGGCCATTACCCACCCACCTCCATCAACCCTTTGTTCGCTGTCATTGAGAGTCTCTCAACGGTTTGCTTCCCTCTCCTTTGTTTTATTTTCTCCCCATATGTTCATCTGTTTTGTTTCTTAAATTTCGTGAAATCGTAGTATTTGTCTTTCTCTTGACTTATTTTGCTTAGCATAATACGCTGTAGCTCCATTCACATCATTGCAAATGCAAGATTTCATTCTTTTTGATGGCTGAGTAATATTCCAGTGTGTGCGTGTAATGTAATATATGTATATATATTATATACATATGTACATATCTATACATGCACACATACACCCCACATCTTCTTTATTCATTCATCAGTTGATGTTTGGGCTCTTTCCATAGTTTGGGTTATTGTTGATAATGCTGTAGACATCTGGGTGCATGTACCCCTTTGAATCCATATTTTTGTATTCTTTGGGTGAATAGTAGTGCAGTTGCTGGGTTGTAAGGTAGTTCTGTCTTTAAGTTTGAGGAACCTCCAGAGTGGCTGGGGAAGTTTGCATTCCCACCAACAGTGTAAGAGGTATATAACCCCCATCTTGAAAGGAGGTGTAGGGAACTATGAAGAACTCTGTTTTTAGCATTGGTATTCAACTACAGTTAGTACATTAACTCATGTGAAGAGCTTAAAAAAATAAAAGATACTGATGCTTGAATAACACCTCCAGAAATACTGACTTAATTGGTTGGGAGTGGAGACCTGGCATGGTCATCTGTTTTAAGCTCCAGTCATTTTAATTTGCAGCCAGACAACTGTTTCATAAGCTTTTAAATGCCAAAACCAGATACAAATTATGTTTAAGATTTAAGTCTTGCGATATAGGGCAATTGTATTTTCAGGATTCTTTGTATATTAATCTTAAGTTGCAGGGGGGTCTGGGTGGCTCGGTTAAGTGTCCCAACTCTTTTTCTTTTTAAATAATTTTTTTTAGTCACCAGACAGTACATCATTAGTTTTTGATGTAGTGTCCAACTCTTAATTTGGGCTCAGGTCATGATCTCAGGGTTGTGAGATTGAGCCCCGCATGGGGTTCCATGCTGGGCGTGGAGCCTGCTTGATTCTCTCTCTCCCTCTGCCCCTCCTATCCCACTTTTCTTAAAAAAAAAAAAAAAGTTGCCGGAGTCGCCTTTAGGTATTGCTTAAAGCGAGAGCTGTCTTTGTAGTACAAAGTTAGGATTGTAAAACGCCAGCAAACATTTCTTCAAACAGAAATGTTTTGTAAATATATGTGGGCTGTCTGCAAAGTTGATTTGAGAAATT